ATATGCTTCTTAAATATTTTACACAGCTTTTAAATATAAATAAGGTTTTCCTTGTCTCAAAGGAAAAATACTTAGGAAGTATCGTTGAGTTATATGCTCTACATAGGTACACCTTCCTAAGAAACTGTCAAACGCTTTCTTACCTGGACATGACATTAAACATCTCAACAAGTAATGTGTGAAAGCCCCAGGGCTTCCACACTGTAAAAACTTGATGTTGCTACTTTGTGGGTAAAGTGCTGTTTTTTAAATTACTCATTCCATGTTTGGTTTATAGTAGTATGAACAGCACATAAACATGCAAAAGAATGCTGAACACAACTAATCATTTGGAAAACACAAACCTCTTTTTGAAATTTAGGACAATGGTGCTTCTTTTGTTTTAAAGAAAATAAAATGATATCATTGCCCCCCTTCATTTTCCTCCCTCCAACCCTTCCAGTGTCCTCTCCTTCATACTCCTCCCATGTCCCTGCTTCACTCCCTCTCCAACGCAAGGTCTCTTTTCTTTGATTATCATTGTTTTACACACACACTTATCTATCTCACATAAATACATAAATCAACTTTCTGGTTCCATTTAGTGTTTTTCTTTGATTATCATTGTTTTACACACACACTTATCTATCTCACATAAATACATAAATGCATAAATCAACCTTCTGGTTCCATTTAGTGTTTTTCTTTGATTATTATTGTTTTACACACACACTTATCTATCTCACATAAATATATAAATCAGCCTTCTGGTTACACTTAGTGTTGCTCACATGTACATGACTTCAGTGCTGACCACTTGGTATTGGATAGCCAAAGTGCATGTTTTATGCTAAAGAGATAAGAACGATTTTTTTCTGGGAAGAGGAGAATGTGGTGATGTGGGAAGAGAACGTCGAGGCTAGATGTGGCATGTGTATGATGAAGACAAAAGGAGATACAGTGAAGATCCCGGAAGAAGGCCCAGTCCAAACATAAGAAAACACTTTCCACATGCACACCCCCTACACAAAGCTATTTTCTGAAATCCTCTAATCTGTTATAAGAAATCAGGTGTAGAATTGATTTCCCAATAATGGATTTTTGACAGTTAGTTAAAAAAGTGTCTTTTCAGTTGAAAGTGTAATTTTTCTGTGCTATTTGAAAATTCAATGGTCCCTTCTCTACAGGAAACAATGTGTTACAAGCAGATAAGTGGAGGAAAGGTGAATTATGGGGCATCAGTCTCACAATAGGTTTCCATAAAATTGAGACAGATACTTCAGTGGTTTGTATAAGTGCCAGCAATGTGAGGTGTAATTATGCCCACAAAATTATCACCCTGTCAAATGTAAGTACCCCCAGCAAGTTGTTCTTCCAGCGAATCCATGAGTCTCTGCTCCCTTTTCCATTCCCCCTCAGCTGTTTGGAACTGTGGGTTTCTCCCGCCCCTTTGGTTCGGAAGGACTCACAAGTCCCATGCTCTTTTTCTGGTCTTTGTGACTTATCGAACCTCCAATTTTCCCTAAACCTTTTTCTTCATGCATCAGCTTGAGAGTAAGTTTCTCTGTAGCTAGAGTTTTCCTGTCTGGCCCATAGTCAGGACAAATCTCTATCACCCGCCAGTCCCACAGCCACTCAGACCCAACCAAGTAACACAGAGACTTATATTGCTTACAAACTGTATGGCCATGCCAGGCTTCTTGCTAACTGTTCTTATATCTTAAACTAATCCATTTCTATAAATCTATACCTTGCCACGTGGCTCATGGCTTACCGGCATCTTCACATGCTGCTTGTCATGGTGGCGGCTAGCAGTGTCTCCCTGACTCAGCTTTCCACTTCCCAGAATTCTCTTCTCTGCTTGTCCCGCCTATCCTTCCTGCCTGGCTACTGGCCAATCAGTGTTTTATTTACTAACCAATCAGAGCAACATATTTGGCATACAGAACATCCCACAGCATTTCTCTGCTTCAAGGTTGGGAAGCGCTTTTGGCCGAACTCGGAAAAACCCATCTAAGTTGTTTGAGTTACTTTTCCCACCTGAATGTAGTAATTTCCCACGGTTTCCTCCTGTTACTGCCTCCCTTCTCAGCTTACTCCAACCACCTCTGCACTGATACTCATGGTGGATTATTTATTTAAAGCAATTTAAACCAAGTGTCCCACTGTTCAGTGAATGATTAGCACCAAGAATGCTGTTTTCCACATACTTCATTTCAGCATTGTTTCTATGGTACATTGCACCAGAGAAGTACTTTGAAGTCAGTTATTTTGATCTATTCATTCTGGAAATAAGAGATAATATTCTGTGAGAGGAAGAATGACCTGAGAGAAGGTATGACAAAAGCTTGGTGTGTAGCACATGGTGATTTGAGTTCCTCTTCTGTTATTAGTCCATGGCAGGACCTCAGCAAAGCCATTCCCAGGAGTACTTCTCTGCTAAGTGAAGAAACACTGCCTCTTGGGTTTCAGAAGAGGGAAACATTGTGGAATCTGCTTCTTCACATGCTGAGCTATGCAGTTCATCCACTGTGCAAAATCTGGGCAGAGATGTTGGGAAATGGCAGCCTGGATATCATTGCACAGCCTTCGTAGTTAATTTTTGTAAGCAATAAAACTTGTGGAAACTGAGAAAAATATTGACCAGGAGACAGAATTTTTAAAGTGGCAGGACTGTAGTGGAAATCTATTTGCATGGAAGGAAGAAAAAGCTTTAACCTCAGTTTAACAATTCTGTAACATTGTAAACTCAAGTTACTCTAGCCCGGAGCCCACCAGGTCACAAGAACTTAGGGATCTTTGTCCTCTGACCTCTTTGTGGAAATGTATGTAATTAATGAACCAATGATGCAACAGCTGCCTTCTTAGAGGCTAAGTCCCTTTAGATCAGAGGAGGTGTCACACTGTGCTTACTGCGTTGTTAAGGGGATAGAAGAGTAAGCGACTTTCTACGTAAATGTGCGAAATATGATTTGAGCATGAACCTAATGTCCAAATCCACTTCAGCTGGTATGCCAAGTTCCTTGGGAGTTCCTAGTCAGTTCCACTTGCCTTACGTTGTCAGCACAGAGAGCAATTACTATTTGTTGTGTGCGAGCAATGACAGATCTCTTCTGTGTTTGTCATCGGTGTGTATGTGTTTGTGGCTGCATGTCCACCTGTGAGCCTGTGGAGGCCAGAGGTCGATGTCAGGTTGTAAATCACTCTCATCTTTTCAATCACTCTCCACTTACTTTTGGAGTCATCATCTCTCATTGGACCTAGAACTCACTGGTTCAGCTGGACTGGCTGCTAGTTCTAGGAATCTGCTTGTCTCTGCCTCCCCAGTACATGGATTGCGGGAACACACTGTGGCATCTGGCCTTTGCATGGCTGTTGGGGTCCTCGTGCTTGTATGGCAAACACTTTACCAACTAAGCCATCTCCTCTGCCCCCAATTATAGATCTTTAAAGAAGGTTTATTTTTCTCATTGTTGATGATACTGAAAATTTAGATTTTTTTTTTTTTTGGTTGACAGACATTCCTGAAGCATAACAGCATAAAAGATTTTATTTACACAGGCAAATTTAGGATTGATTCACTGAATTTACTCATCAATAAAATAAGTCAATCCTCATTCAATTGGTTTCTACTAAATATTAAGCCAATCCCCATCTACTTCATCTCTACTAAATATTGGTCCTCTAATCTGTCCTGTTGGTAGAAGAATCTAGTTTTTTCTTAAAGCTTTTTTTTAACATTTAATTAATTAGTGTGTGCATGTGTGTAGGGGGCATGCACATGCCATGGTGTGCATGTGGCAATCAGAAGACAAGTAGTAGGACTCAGTTCTCTCTGTCCACCATGTGTTCTCTGGCACTGAACTCAAGTCGTCAAGTTTGACAACACAAGCTTTTATCCACTGAGCCACTCTGCCAGGCTCCTTTTTTAATTAATCTTTTTTACATTTATTTAGAATCCTAATGTGAACTTCAGAGTACACTACAGCAATAGTTTGAGCACCTCCAAAACTTTGTTTCCTGTCACTGAACTACACAGCTGGTTTGAGGTGGAATTTGAGGCCTGTGGATCAGAGCCGAACTTGGGTTAATGCCCTTGCTTAAACAGTCACTTACTTGGCAGCTTGGGGAATTTCCTTCCATGGAAATCTGTAATGTAAATCCCTCACTTTTTCACTTTGTTCAGACAGCAGGTGGCTGTTCCCCCACTGCAGTGATCATCCCTTTCTTCTTCTGTAAGTCTAATAACTCTTCCAGATCTCTAGTCTGAATATTCTGAATCATAACCTACAATGAGAATCAACAGTACTTAAAATGGCTTCAGACCCTGAACCTCAAATGCTAGTACATGAGGAAGTGTATGCCTGTTAAGATGGAAAGAATGAATTATTTTTTTTTTAAAAAAGGCAAAATTGAAACTCCCCCCACCAAAAATAATCCTCTATCAATGAGAGGAACTAGCACATCTAAGGCTCAACAATGTCCAGAAGACCAGAAGACACTCACCATGGCGGGGTAAAAGGTAAATGGGAGAATTAAGATTCAAGAAGGTAGGCAGTGCAGTCACTAGGAATCTTGGAAGGCACACTGAGGAGTTCTGACTTTATGTTACAATCACTGAAGAATTTATGGCAGAGTTTTAACATGATAAAACTGTCCCACTCCACGGTAACTAGCATGAGAACATTTTGCCTGAAGAGGAATGGGTGCGGAACAATTTTCTTTCTTATCCTCCGAGCCTCCGCCCTTCTCCTTTCAGTGACTGTATAGTGTGCCTTCACAAATGAAAAGGCAGAGTGTTTTCTTTATGTTCCAATTAAGCTCCATGCTATCAATTGCTAACTCCATCCTGGGACCCAGACTGCTTTCTTTTAAGAAGAACTGCAAAAGGATCAGGCTAATGTGTTTTCCAGACTCGTGGTTTTTGGTATGCAGGTGGCATTGGTGGTCCCTATGGTTACACCCCCTGCTAGCCAGAGCACTTCCTTCAAGCAAGCAGAATGGATGGGGCAGCAGCAAAATGCCTAGCAAGCAGTTTCCTTGGGAAAAGTCATGGGGTTCAGAATGATGGGTGAAAGAATGACATGAGAAGCAGAGGCAAAGGCAGGAGAAGGATACTGAAATGGATGCTGAAAAGGATGCTGAGAGTGAATGGAGGAAAAGAAGGTTTGATCAAAAAGGAACAGAGAGGTAGAAACAAAACAATTCATACAAAACCAGATCCCAGTGAGCCTTGAGTTCCTAAACTATTATGTGGACTTTTTAAATATGAGGCATTTGAGGCTTTATTTTAATGCTCTAGATATTTTCCCACTAAAATCTGGATGTTAAATGGGTTTGATGTATAGACTTCTCATATTTCTAGCCCTAGAGATATAGTTTTTCAGCTTTTAAAATCATGTTATTCCTTATATCTTAAAGTACTAGGTATAGGGTTGTGGAGACTAACCTCTGTGGAATATTCTATGCATTTTAGCCCTTATTTGTGGATTCCAATATTTCTAATAAGAAGACTGAAACAGAATTTAACAGATGAATCAGCTACAAAACATTATTTTCCAGAACAACAATACATGGTCAGTGGATTGTGGTGACCTCAGGAGGTAAGCATTGGAAGAAAAGGGAATTTTCTTTTTAACCACAAACACTGATAAAATATTAACATTTCCACCCTGTTTATGTTCCAGTACAAATTAAACACAGCATTAACGGGGTTATCAGGCTAACTTGACAACCTCTGCTTATGTTTTCTCTAAGGGGCTGGATTGTGTGAGGAAAATCTGCACATTTCAATTGATCTTGTTTATATAAATTGTTCATTTGGTCAGAGGCAAGGTGTCTTCAGATAGCATGGCACAGAAGACAGAACCAAGAAGAAAAAGAGCCCAGAGAGGTGTCAGAGACAAGCCTGCAAACCGGAGTCTTAAACCTTAAAACTTTAAATGGCTCCACACATGGTGATAATGACCCTGGAGTACAGACAGGTCAAATTAGGAAGCAGCTGGACACACACTGATTTGCAGTAAGGTCTCTGCATAGCACTATTCTTGTCTAGATCAAAAATGAAATTTAAAGACCTACACATTACTAGACTAGATTTTGGAACAGAAACCATTTTAGTGGGAAAAAAAAACTGGAGAAGTTTGAAATAATTCTATGGCTCAGTGAATAATAATGGATCAGCATGAATTTCTATTTTCACACATGTACCATAGCTGTACAAGATGTTGTTGGGAACTGTTTGGGGAAGGAAGTACAGAAAATTTTCTATTAGATTGCTATCACTTCTATAAATCTAAAATTATTTAAAAATAGAAGATTATTTTTAGAAAGAATCATGGACAGAGGTACTAAAATAGATCTTGAAAAAACAACCAAGTAACTAAGTATAATTCCAGAATGCTAAGTGCCCAACCCATCCTACTTGGGAAGATTCTCTTGGGTCCCTGCTACCCGGCCTTCATCCATGGTCACAAGCTGTCGTCCATCTAACTCTGTCCCCTTTACCAAGCCTTGACTCACTCACCAAGCAAGGTAAACAGCTGTTTGCACATGCTTTTGCCTTTTACACTCTTGACTTAGCACTTGTGTTTCCTGAAGTGAAAAGATGTCTCTTTAATCTTTTCATCAATGAAATCAATCCAGCAACCAGTCGTTCCTGTTCTTAGCAGCCTTGTTTCAAGTGTCTCACTTCCTCCAAGCATCTTACCCATGCACACCCAGTTTAACTGAAAGGAACGTATATAATGAGTATTATTAAGTGGAACATCTTTGTGTGTAAGCAGCGAGGAAGGTAAAAATACTGCTTTTTCCAATGTTTAAGGAAAATATTGGCTATATTGATAAAAAGTAGATTTGCTAAACATTTTTATGTAATTTGTTACAGCAAGTGTGCATTGAAAGTTTATGACCACGTGATGGGTGAACAAAGAAGTCCCTTGCTTCAAAGAGGATGCCCCAGCAAAGGGAAAATTTCAGTGTGCCCAGTGCCATCTGAGAAGTGCATATGGGTCATTACAGGACTGTGTAAGAAGACTATAGGGCTCTGGCCAAGTGTACATTGAATCATTTTTCTCTCCTCTCTGTTAACATCTCTAAATCAGGCGGAAATGGTGCTTTCCCATGGCTCTCCCCTGCAACAGATGCTTTCTCCATAGCACAAAGGATCCTTAAATTGTTCTCCTCTAAACACAATGGCTCCATGACATCCATTTCTGTGAACACATTGCTGCACTTTTTTCTAACATGTTATTTTCCCAGTGGCTATTTATCATCTGCTCTGTGTTTGCCTAATGAACTAAAAGTGCAAGGCAAGGAAATAAACCTGAGCAAAACAACAGAAAGGCAACCATGAACCATTGATTTAGCAGAGGAGAAGAGGGGAAAAATAGAAAGACCGTAGAAACTCAGCTACCTCTGAATACCAGGAAATAGCATCTGTGTTTCTCAAGAAGTTAAGAGCACCAACTGTGCCAAGTAGAGGGCACTGGAAGGGGGATGAGCCAGCCACATTTTAATAGAAAGAAAAGAAGAAAACAGAGAGAAAGAAGCTATTCATACTCCATGTGACCACACACTGTAGCTTCTTATATTGAGACATGAAATAATCAGAGTACTCCAATGCCTAGAACTACTCATGCTAATCCATTCAGACTTCCATAAGAAATACCATAGAGTGGGGGCTTTCCCAATAGAAATATATCTGCTACAGTCTGGTGGTGATGCAAAACATCAGTAGAAAACAATATAAAACGTGGGACTAAAAAGTTAATTCCTGGATCCACATCTTGTAGAATCAGAGTCAACTGCAGCAGCATCTAGAGCCGTGAGTGCCTTAGGCACACCATCAAGGCTATCAGAATGGATAGAATGCCGGGCGGTGGTGGCGCACGCCTTTAATCCCAGCACTCGGGAGGCAGAGCCAGGTGGATCTCTGTGAGTTCGAGGCCAGCCTGGTCTCCAAAGCGAGTACCAGGAAAGGCGCAAAGCTACACAGAGAAACCCTGTCTCGAAAAAACCAAAAAAAAAAAAAAAAAAGAATGGATAGAGTATCCTGGGAAACCATCACATTGCCAACAAAGGGAGAGAGGCAGTGGGTGGAAGGGGCCAGCAAGTAAGTGGATGCAGAGGTGATGGGGAGACAGGGTGAGTGAAACTGTCCCGGAGAGGTTGGGAGACACAGTAGCTTTTTTGTACTCATTTCTAAATTACAATATACTGATGACTTCCTGAATGATGCTTTAGAGCATGGTTTCTCAATCTGTGGGTGGTGACCCCTTTGAGGGGGGGGGGTCAAGTGGCCCTTTGACAGGGGTCACAGTTCAGATGTGCTACATATCAGATATTTACATTATGATTCATAACAGTAGCAAAATTACAGTTACAAAATAGCAATGAAAATAGTTTTATAGCCAGGCGGTGGTAGTGCACGCCTTTAATTCCAGCACTTGGGAGGCAGAGGCAAGAGGATCTCTGTGAGTTCGAGGCCAGCCTGGTCTACAGACCAAGTTCCAGGACAGGATCCAAAGCTACACAGAGAAACCCTGTCTCAAAAAAAAAAAAAGAAAAGAAAAAAAAAGAAAAAGAAAAAAAAATAATTTTATGGTTGGGGGATCACCACAACCTGAGGAACAGTATTAAAGGGTCTCAGCATTAGGGTTGAGAACCACTGGTCTAGAGAAATTTTAAATTATATTAAGAAGAAATATGAGAATATGCTTGTATGTGTGTTTCCTTGTTTCTGTTTGAATGTGTAGAATGATTTAATGTAGAACATTTTACCCTCTCATGCCTCCATGTTTCTTATGTAGAATTTGTTGACAAGAACTATTTACCAAAATACAATACTTTACTGCAAATTTTTTATTTGGAAAGCCACTATAGCACAAACACATACACAGCTCATATATTTAGACAGTTGATTTACTCTCACTGGCCATCAGATTCCTTGGCTGCAAAATGAGTATGTTGATATGAACTCTGACCTCTGAGGTGTGTTTGGCTGTTGAGAGTCCATAAATGTTAGGTGATTAAATTTCTGTGTCAAAAATGCAGACTTGTTAATCTTAGATAAGACTTTAAACACTGTTTTTTATTCTAATTTGACCATTTTACCTTTGGGTAGGTTTTAGATTTTACAAAATAATTTCTTTCATCTTAAAGCATTTTTTTCTTATCATACCTTCTAAAAATAATTTCAGTGCCCATACTTCAAATAGAAAACTGAAGAGAGGTCGGAGTGATTAACTTCAAGTTATACCAGCGGTAGTGGCAGAGACCCGGGGCTACCTTTCTCACACCACATCTAGTATTGCTCTATGCTCCCTATCTGACAGTGTGCCCTATTCACATGTGGAGACCATTTTCAATGGAAAACAAGAAGCTATTTCTCAAACAACCATTTCCATTCATAATCATCTACTGAATACTTGTCACATAATCATGTTGAACTTCAGGGTGATGTAAGGCAGAATTCCCGCAGGATCCCTCCTTACAAGGGAAATACGAACTAAAGGTTTTCTATTAATGCATCTTACTCTTTCTGATGTCTACTGCTTCCATGTACTGTGAAACAAATGATAATATTTTCTTTGAGTTCACCTCCCAAATATACTTTGACTTGAAGATATATCAAGAGGTAAAAGTAAAGGAGGAAGTAGAGTATGAGATATTTTATCTGCTCTGCGTGACTTACTGGTCCTAATACATGGGAAATGGTTATTTTACACAGCCAATTATGGAATAATATTGTTGATTCAAGGATAAGTTTTTACTTCATTTAAGTCAATGGAACAACCAGTCTTGCTGGCATTAGCAGTTATCAATAAGGGCTCTAATGATGGCATACATAATAGAAGTTCTGGTGAAGAAAAGCAGTTTCACATGCCAGAATAATACCCATCGCTAACATAAATATCTGAGATAGCCAACTTATAGAAAGAAAAGGTTAACTCTGGTTCAGGGTTATGGCATTTTCAGGCCATTCTCAATTGCCTAAAAGGAGGGAAATTGGTAATGGCCTGAAATCTCCATAACTCTGAACCAGAATAAACCTAGTTTTCTCTACAGTCTTCTCTGTATAAGCTTACTATCTCAAGGATTCATTATAGTGATGAGAAGGGATAAGGATAAGGGATGACCACAACCTGAGCTAGGGTTTGCATTGCATAACATTGTAAACTGACATACTTTTTCATTAATCATTTGTGAAATGTATTGAGAACAGCCACATTCTGTTCAGTATTTCTACATACTGAACTTCTTAATTGCCTTGATTTCCAAACCTTTCAGGGAAGACAAATTCCTGCTCTGCTTATATTAATTTGACAGCTGAAGTCAGAGAAGTGGCTCCTTTAGGATCCCAGGGTCAGAGAATAGAGCTAAAATTCGACCTCATTTTTTGACCCAAAGGATCCCTCATATGAAATGAATTACTTGGTTTCATTTGTAGAAAAAAAAAACTACATGTTTTTTCATTGCAGAAACAAAGCTGAGAACCATTAGTGTTAAATTCTTAGACATAAGAGAAAATGCATGAAAGTGTTTTGATGAAAAGGTACGGGTTACTCTATTAATATTCACTCTTGTGATCATCGGCTCATGGAAATGATGATAATAAAAGTGAGTTGAGAAAAAAAGAAAATTCAAGTGATTGTTTTGTTTGTTTTGTGTTTTTACAACACTATGCACATGCTATACATCCTTAGTTGTTCCTATATAATATCAGATGACATAAGACAGATCTTACATAATTATTCACTGGATCATTATACAGTCCTGTGTTTCCCTTGGACAGGGCTCTGTGCTGCTCCTGTGACTATGAAATACTACTCTACAACTTGAAAGATAAACTTAATGAACAGGCTAAACAGAAAGTTCAGTATTTTTGAAGCCATAACTAATGCTGATGATTTGTTGTGTGTCCACAATTCCTTTGATAACAAAAACAATCTGTCCATAAGAGACATGTTAAATCTCAACACCATAAACATCTAAATCCTATTCTAATGATTTAAATACAGATGTGTATTACTTTCAGTGATTCACTGTTTTAAATTACCACTCTGTTTACTGTAACTATCAGAACACTGACGTTTTGTACAATTGTACCATTTACATTGCACTTTAATATATTAAATAAATATACATTCAGATTTTGACCTTCATTTTGTATGTTTTGTTTTATAATATAAATATTGGGCCCATACTTGGAAAGCTTTGTAAGAGTGATGGCAGTGTTTAATTAAGCAATTCAATGAATTCTGGAATAGCATCCTCTGGAGATAATGAATGAGACCATTGATGTCAAAACCTAAGATGTCTCGCCATATCTAATAATCCTAAATGCTGACGATGAACTGTGACTACAGTTTGGTCAGACTCCATCTCTGCAGAAAGATGAATAGGTTGATTTTCATTTTAGAATACTGTAGATTATAAATCAGACATGAAGAACAAGCCAAGGGTGGAAGCTGAAAACCCCACACACCTCCTCCACTTTTTTTCTTCAGCTATTGGAATTTAAGACTCTCGGGGTTAAAAATGAGCAATTCTCGGGCAAACTAGGATGCTTTAGTCATTCTCCAAATTGCCTTTGTTCCTTCTGCCCACCAGGAGAATGAAGGAAATACACCAAGATAGGGGAACCATCCAGAGACATAAGGACAAAAGCTTTATGGAATGACTAAAACTTGAAGAGAAAATTCATGGTTTCTTACATGAAAAAATTGGTGGTCAAAGTACAGGGGTAACTCAGCAATTGTAAGTACATGTGTGAGGGGGTGGAGCATTATTTCAGAAAGGAGGAATCCAGAAAATATTTGTGGTAGTCAGGGCAACTGGGCCTAGAAACAGAAAACCAAGATTTAAATGACAGCTCCTCAGAAACAGTACAAAATACCAGAGGGATTCTGAGGACTTGAAGATGAAGATACCCTAGGCAAAATCAATAAGGATATAGGTGAGTAAACCATACCCCCACCTACAAAATGTACATTATTTTCAAGTGCGCGTGGTATAGTCACCAAAGTCATATAAAGCCTATTTTCTGGCCCCAACGGAATTAAACAAGAAATCACTAACAGTAACACATCTCACAGTTTATTGGAGATCAGAACATACAGACAACCTAACTGAGGACGGATTGAAATGACAGTGTGCTGTAATTTATGTCCAAATATTACTGTACAGAAAATATCATCAAATAATATAAAACAAAAGAATTACTATGAAATGTCCAAATGTCAAGTTCTGGGCAACAATAAAAGCTTACATAGGAAAACTTAAGTGTGAGGATTTCCAAATAAGAAAGAGAAGGTGGCAAAAACAAACTATTAAATAAGTTAATTAACACATCAGGTGAAAATGGTCCACACTTCCAGGGAAAGTAAACAATTCTTATTTCATTCACAAGCTCCTGTAGTGTCTATAGACTGAGGGGAAGATCATCACAGCTCTTTTTCTGTGCCACCCAGCAACCCAGAACTGGTCAACTCAATTCTTTGTATCTTTGTTTTGTTTTTGTTTTTTTGAGACAGGGTTTCTCTGTGTAGCTTTTGGTGCCTGTCCTGGACCTAGTTCTATAGACCAGCCTAGCCTCAAACTCACAGAGATCCGCCTGGCTCTGCCTCCCAAGTGCTGGGATTAAAGACATGCGCCACCACCAACGGCCCAATTCTTTGTATCTTAACTTTCTGTTTATTTGTATCAACCCTGGAGGTGGGCTCTTGGAAGCGTTAATGAATAAGCAATCTAAAGCTGTTTGTAACTCAAGAAGATGATTATTTAGGTTTTATGTCCCAGGGCAGGAGCACTACTGGATGGTCAGTGTGTTTTCTCAAGAGAGGAAAGAAACATGTAAGCCAAGTCATATGTACAAGCATGTGTGTGTATATGTGTATACATATATATGTTCATATAAATGTACATATATACATATATACAAGAGACTCTTATAAGATCAGGGTCTCTTCTCTCTGTTGGTGCATAAAGCCATTTACTTAAAGTCTTGGGG